CCCCCGGGCAGGTGGGCGAGGCGTACCTGCCCCTCATCCTGACGGCGTCCCCCGAGGTGCAGCCGCCCGTGGAGGCTCTGCTGGAGGTGGCGGCCCACCCCGACGCCGACATCTACACCATGGCGTTCCCCTTCTGGTGCAAGCTCTCAAAGTGGCTGCGCCAGGGCGAGTACGGCCGCGGGCAGAGCCGCAGCGGCAGCATGGCGAGCAGCGGGAGCACGGCCAACATGACGGACGCGGCGGCGCTCGCAAACGGCGGCGGCGGCGGCGGCAACGGCGGGGGTCCGGAGGCGGGCCTGCTGCCGGGGCCGCCGCCGCTGAGCGCGGCGGAGCAGGCGGCGGCGGAAGCCGAGCGGGCGCGGCAGCGGCAGTTCTTCGCGCCGGCGTTTGAGAAGCTGCTCGTGACGGCGCGGGCGCGGATGAGGTGGGGTCCGGTTATACGTTGCACTCCGCCCCGCCGGCGCCGCTCCCGAGGACCCACCCCTGTTGCTGTGATTTCACTCCACCAATGCCTTGATACGACCTTCAAGAGCAGCGCAGGAGCAGGGGGCGCGCAGGACCATGGCATCCGACCAGCAGCCAGCCATGCATTGCCCACAGCCCGCGGCGCCACACCCCCAGCCCGACCCGGGGCGTTTGCGATGCATACAAATCACACGCGCGCGCTGCCTCTCGCTGCTACCCTTCAGGGCGCCCGATGGGCTGGCCTCCATGAGCAGCAGCGAGCGCTCCGACTGGAAGCGCGTGCGCGCGCACTGGTCCGACGTGCTGGTGGACGCGGCCGCGGCGCTGCGGGCGGACCGCGCTCTGGCGCTGCTGCTGGCGCCGCTGCACGACGTGGGGCGCACGGTGGCGGGCGGCGGCGCGCTGGACTGGCAGGCCGCTGAGCTGGCGCTGCACTGCGTCAGGTGATGCGCGGGCGGGAAGGAGTGCCGTGGGCGTGTGAGGCGCTGTTTTCCGCTGGTGCTGTGCTGATATGGGCCGGGCTCTGCCGCACTGTTTGTGTGTTTTTGAGGCGTCGTACGATGCCTGTCCAGCCCGTTGTGCTGCCCACAGCTGCTGCATCCGCCTGGTGTATTGATGCTTTGAAACCCCTGACTACGCCTGGGACCCCACCCCGCGCACGAACCCGTCCTCTTTTCTTTGGCAGAATTTTGCCCCTCCTTCTCCCTCTCCCCTCTCCCTTGTCCCTTTGCCCCTCTTTCCTTCAAACCACAACCACAACCTTGAACCCTCAAATCTCCTAAACCTTGTCAAAACCTTGCCAGGTGCATCCGCAAGGTGGCCACCACCCTGGGTGACCCCCAGCTGGAGTCGCTGATGTCAGCGCTGCCCACCCTGCCTGCTTCTGTGCCCGGCGCCCCCGGCGCATCCCAGCTGCGCTACACGGCGGCGCTCGTCGTGGCGGGCTACAGCGAGTGGCTGGGCCGCAGCCTGGCGGCGGGGCGCTGCCAGGGGCTGCTGCAGCGGTGAGGGGCCGCGGCGGGCCGAGAGAAGCCACGCGAGGGGGCCCCTGCATCCGCGTGTGTTCGCCTAAACAGCTGATACGGTCCACTTCGCCCTCCCTCCTATCGGCGTGAGCCCTGGGCTGAATCTTTCCCTTTGTCCCTGGCGGCAGGCTCCTGCCGATGCTGCTGTCGACGCTGGCGCTGCCGTCGGCCGCGCCGGCGGCGGCGGTGGCGATCCGGGGGCTGTGTGACAAGTGCAGCAGCCACATGCAGCCCTGCCTGGACCAGCTCATGCAGCTGTACTCGCAGGTTGGAGGGGGGGAGGGATGGGGAGGTTTCACTTTGTCTTTATGCTGGGAGGGGCGGGGGGAAGAGGAAGATTCCTACCTCCATAGTAGGAGGGTGGCTCGAAACGCAAACATTTTGACGTCGTCAAGGCGGTTCTATGGTCAAGATCGACTTCGTTTGACCGACCGAAGCCGCCCACCCCCACCGGCATCGCTCGCCGTACGTGCGCGCCCGCCCGCCTGCGCCCCTCAAACGAGCCCCAGTCTTCAGCTGACCAGATGCACCAACCCCCAATCCCTCTATCACCCCAGGTCCTGAAGTCGGGCGCCGCGGCGCGCATCGCCGCCGCGACAGCGGGCCAGGCGGGCGCAGCGCCCGGCGCGGGCGGCGGCGGCGGTGACGCGGGGGCGCGCGTGGCTGAGGACGACGTGCTGATGGTGGTGGAGGGGGTGGGGCTTTGCGTCAGCAGGTG